TCTTCCCATTTTCTCTTTTGTCAGAATATTTCAATAGCTCATAGAGCTGGTTGCACATTTCTTTAATCAATCATTATTATTTGTCACTCAACAAATACTTTTCTCCTTTTGTAAATTCTTTAATTAAAAACTAAAGGTATTTTGTTTTCTTCATGTGTGAATTAATCATGCAAAAGCATGGCAAGTAGCCTAAGAAGTTTCATCTTTCTTAACTTTTACCATTTTGGGGGTAATTGTGACAAAGAAGGAACAAGGAGTGGTGTGATTTATGGAAACATAAAACAAGGACAATAAAACTGCCCTAGATGGATAGGAAACTTTCTCTCTAGGAAACGGAGCCATCTCCTATGAAGTACCTTGCTTACAAATGTAATTTCACAGGTTAGGGGTGTGCGAGATGGGGAGGTGGGTTTGGTTGTTTTTGTTTGTTTTACAAATATTGGAATGCTCTAAGACTCCTCCTCAATTTTCACAACCTCTAAAAAATACTGAACAAGCTAATAACTGTTATAAATAAGTTTTCGGTGCCACAAAGAAATAGCACTAAAACATAAATTTAATTTTCTCAGCAAAGCAATCTTTACTTCTATAGAAGGGTACGACTCACGAATGGAGAAATGGCAAGAGCACACCTGAACAAGGGAGGGGAAGGGGTTCTTATCCCTGATGCAGGTGGCTCCTACTGCTGTGTCACTCCCCTATTGGCTAGGGTTGGACCACACAGTCTAAGCTAATTTCCATTGGCTATTTTAAAGAGAGCAGGTGTACAAGTCAGAGTGGCGGGGTGAGTAGTTTGGCAGGAACGACAGTTACAAAACAGGAGACTCAGGATGACTCAGGTCAGAGCAAGTGACCAGGGATGACTCAGGACAGAGCAGGTGATAGAGGCTAGGAGGGGGTTGTTTACTGAAACTAGAGGCAAGAAGATGAAGAGAACCAGGAACTTAAACTTTAAAATGGAGAACAGAGAATAAGAGAGCTGAACATACTGACATACTGATTCTTTGAAGAGAAACTTGGAGTTCACTATAGTTAACATAACATTTTTAAGTAGGTCCCCTTTGCTTAGTTTTAGCTCTATAGAGTAGAATAAAATGAATATAATGAAACTTCTTTTTAAATTATACATTATATATAAAGATATATATCAACTATGTAAAAAATAGCCATTTATCATAGAACCTAAATAAGTAAAAAACAATTATACAAATTTATTTTTCTATCCACCTAATTGAAAGTCAAAAATTAAATTAAATATCTGTTTTATTTCTTATTAAAAATTAGGGTTCATCCAAGCCACTAGATAAAGGGTTGTTCGGCAGTTTAATATCTGTGTGTTAAAATAATCAAAGATATATTGTAGCTGATGGCTTCAATAACAATAAACAAATCTAGATTTTTGTAGTCGTTGTTACATCCATGGGACAATAATTTATTCACTTATGTATCTTCAGTAGCAAAATTTGAAAAAAAAACATGCCTAGCACTTAGTAGAGCAAAATAAATATCACTTTAGTGAATAAATTTGTACTCTGAATTTAAGTACTTTGGTCCTTTCCTAAGATTTGCCCAAAGCAGAACTCAAGATGGTCAATCTTTAACCATCCCTGCTACCAACTTTGTAACCAAGTCTCAGCACTGCAAATATTTCCAAACTGTATCTAAATTGCAGGACACTTTATTCTAGTTTGCTAGAGTTGGTGCTTAAATAGAAAAAAACAGCTCCTTTCTGGATTACTAATTATTTTATGAATCTAGAATTTAAATTTGAATTGGCCATGGTAGAGGGATAAGAAAAGATAGTAGAGCTGGCCGGGCGCGGTGGCTCACGCCTGTAATCCCAGCACTTTGGGAGGCCGAGGTGGGCGGATGACGAGATCAAGAGATCGAGACCTTCCTGGCAAACACGGTGAAACCCCGTCTCTACTAAAAATACAAAAAATTAGCCCAGCATGGTGGCGGGCGCCTGTAGTCCCAGCTACTCCGTAGGCTGAGGCAGGAGAATGGCGTGAACCCGGGAGGCGGAGCTTGCAGTGAGCAGAGATGGCGCCACCGCACTCCAGCCTGGAAGACAAAGTGAGACTCCTTCTCAAAAAAAAAAAAAAAAAAGAAAAAAAAAGAAAAGATAGTAGAGCTAAATAATAATTCACAGAAATAAATTGCTTCCTTCAGTGTTAATTATATGAACATCGACACACATTATCCTAGAGCTAGAAATAGAAAAGGTAAACAGTAACCTAGCTGGACATGGAGACTGAGAAATTCCCATTTACTCTGTATATATGTAAGGTACCAAAAATAACAAACTCATTCAGAGGCTTTCGTTTTGCAGGAAAGGAGGGAAGAAAGATTGAAAGACAGGCAGGAAGGAAGTTTAACTATTCATTGTTTTCTCAATGTTTTCATGATTGCTATGACCAATAATTGTATGTGGTGATAGCCTGGATATTGCATGAGCCTGGTGGTTGGGTCCTACACACAGCAGGTATAATAATCAATATAACTTGTTTTGACTTGTTGATACATAAAGCCATTAACCTTCCACAAACTCCAAAAAATTCATGAGAAAGCAGAAGACTGAAGCAAGTTTAACTTACAGAAGTATGAGTTGAAAATTCACTAAAATATCAGTTCAGGTACTTCCATGAAGCAGATATTAAACCCAAATGGTTCCAAGTTTTTTAGTAATGAAATTAACCTTTCAACAAATTTTCCCTGAAAGTACGTATTTCATCAACAGATTTGAAAAATAACAATTATTATTTTTATAAAAGACAAATTTAACTAAGGAAGTTTTCATTCTAATATTTCACAAACATATTGTTACTTAAATTATCATATCCAAAAACTAGTTGCCTTAGATACTATGGTATCTAAGGTGTTTAAATGTGTTTCACTCATTTAGAGAACTGACTTCTATGCTCTTTGAAATTTTTTAAGAGAAAAGTTGAGTATTACAGCAGTAAAAGAACTGACAGACCAAAGTCATTATTGCTTTCAAAAAGGTTACAAAAGTGCAGCTGATTATGAAAAGAAGAAAATATTATATCAGAAAAACAACAAAGAATAGATACTGTTAATTGCTTCTTTGAAATGGGCAAAAAGAATCTAAAAAATGAATGAATTGGGGATATGTTTTTAAAAATCAGTAAATCCATCACTTTATTTTTACTGTGAATATGTGTACTTACTGTATAATGAAGGTTTGACTTTTGATATAATTATATATGATGACAACAAAATTGCAATAAACAGAGAAAATAAACATACCCTTTGAGTGAGACATATTGTTATGTACTACATGAAGGATAAATAAATTGAAGAATATTCAACCATTCTTTCTAGGTGAGGAGGTGTCACCGCAATAGTGCCATAAAATAGATAATGTTATTTCCCATGTTAAAATAAGGATATTTTTATGTTATACTTTTAAAATAACTTGGCAGTTAGAACATCCTTTAAAGGTAGTTTTTCTAATAGTAATATTTTAAGACTACGAAACTAGGACAATCACAGAATATTATTGGTTTGTTTAATTGATTTTACTCCTTCCCAAAAATAATGTGGAACAACATATAAACTATGGTTTAAAAAGGTTTATAAGGCCAGGCGCGGTGGCTCACTCTTGGAATCCCAGCACTTTGGGAGGCTGAGGCGGGCGGATCATGAGGTCAGGAGATCAAGACCACGGTGAAACCCCGTCTCTACTAAAAATACAAAAAAAAATTAGCCGGGCACGGTGGCGGGCTCCTGTAGTCTCAGCTACTCAGGAGGCTGAGGCAGGAGAATGGCGTGAACCCCGGAGGCGGAGCTTGCAGTGAGCCGAGGTCGAGATCAGGCCACTGCACTTCAGCCTAGGCTACAGAGCGAGACTCTGTCTCAAAAAAAAAAAAAAAAAAAGTTTATAAATTGCAATATTATTCAGAACCATAGAAATAAAATGTAAGTGTGTAAATAATACTGAGTTCTTATAACCTGAAAGAAAGAAGCTTAGCAATGAATTCCTCAGGAAAGACAAGTTTTTTACCTGTAACCAAATTCTAAAGGAATGACTCGTGTGAGGATTTATACAAAGTACATTAAATAATGTAATAGACGGCGTCAGAGTAAATGAAGGGGCAAATTTCTGCCTCTTTCTTGTTGCCACCTCCATAAAAACTGAGAACATCCCTTTATGCTGAAGCTCAGGGAGGGGAGCTACAAAGGGCAAAGCTAATAACCAGGCACATTGCTTTTCAGCCATCGAATCTGACTCAAGGACACCACTGAAAGCATACTGAGGATGAGATATCAATTACTGTCCCAAGGTGGCTTTTTCTAATAGATGCTTCTTTCAAAGGGGCATTTTAAAAAGGTCTGAAATAGGGCAATTTGGGTTCACACTCTCAGATGACACCGTAGTAAATTTCTCCATTGGGCTCAAGGGCAGACCTGCATGCTGTAGATACCATGGGAAGCTTAACCAGTACTTTTGCCCTAAGGGTACCCACCCCATCCCTGCATAGGACACTAAGCAAGGGTGAACCAGCAGGAAAGCCAGAATTTTCTTTAGGTACTACTGATTTACACTTTAAGAAATTTTACTTAGTACAAGAATAGAAACCCATGCTTGCAAGAACTAGCAATGCAATTTTGGTTCAACAAAATGCTTCATTTTCACAATTTCTTTAGATTCAAAAAACATGAAGCTTAATAAAAATGTTTATAGTCACAAAATTAATAACCAAATTTGTCCTATATTATTTAAAGGATTATGGTTAGGGTTCAGTTCAGAAAAAAAGAATTAGGGTTTTTTCCATGGGTAGGATAGAGATCAGGATTACTTTAAAGTCATATTCCAGTTTATTTTTATTTCTAATTTTATGTCTAAGATTTTTATCCTGTTATGAATAAGCCATATAATTTCCAATTCTATATTAAGGGGTTCTTAAGCATACAGGAGTTTACAAATTCAGGCAAAAGGAGATTGGAATTTAGATAATTTAGATTTATGACGTTACCTTTTCATTTCATCTTCTGCATCCTTGAGTAGAAATCACACATCTCAACTCAATTGCACAGATTTCACAGGTTGTAAAAGGATGAAGATAGCAAAATAAGACTGAAATTTCCAAGCAGCTAAAGGCTCATATTATAGGCTTAGCTACTGACCAATCAAAGACCATCAAAGGAGGTTAACAGCACCTTCTAAAAACTAGGGATGAGTCAGTGAAGACGTGGCAGCAGCTGCAGTGCCACTGAACAAGATTTTCTTCTGTAACAAGGCTCAGTTTTGTCTTATTTGATGCTCCTCAACTGCATTCAACTGCATTTACTTACTTCAGCAAAATCTTCCAAATATTCAGAAATTCTTTTCTTCTGTCTTTCAAGTAAGTAAATAAACGGGAGTCAAAATAAGCTGGATGAAGCTACTATGGGTTGCCTGACATTTTTACCAAGGCAAGTAACTGCTAAGCTGAACATTCATGACCATATGACTTAATCAGAAACTAACTTCATTCTTTATCCCACTGCTCTTTAAACTCTCTCTGTGTGCCAGTTCTTTCCCTGCCACTGCATGAATTCTCTGATGAAGTCCATAACTTCTTCAATCACTATTCAATACTCAGAAACCTCTATTTACCTTCAATCGTAAGAATAGTAATAAATACATACAACTTAGTACAATGTTTTTCAAAATCTTACCTAATGTAAAATTCACCTCGCCTCTACTAGGTTAGACAAGCTCAGAAGGTTGTAATGGGGTATATTTTAGCTTCTTTTCTGTTTCCCCACCTCACTGCCTCTTCTCCCCGCTGATTTTCTAGCTTTGACATGAGTCCCTCCAGGCGTGGAGAAAATTAAGGAAGAAAAGTCAAGGTCAGCACCAGTACAATCTGGAGCTGGTTCTTCCTGGCATTTGCAGATGTCTCCAGCCACCTCTCGCTGGGAGGGATGACCAAAACCGACTCCTTTCCTTGGATGGCTTGTGTGGGTGCTTCAGTCTCGCCGGAGAACCACCTAGGAGGCTTATCTAGACAGCAGCAACAGATTTTTCTCAGATAGGCTGCTCAAGTGTGGTCCTTCCAGCTATACTGCAGGGACCTCTTCCACAGAATTTGAACGGCCCCAGAACAGCTCTCTCGTTTGGAGCTCACCTCTGGTCCACAAGGACCACTCCAATGCATGCTCGACCCCACCACTGGCACCCAATTCATCTGCCTTAGAAAGATCAGAGCCAAAGCCTCCTGCCTTTAGAGTCCTCAGATGTATACCTAGCTTCTCTGATTTCCCTGAAAGCTGATTTATTCCCCATCTCAGTGCTTCAGGAAGGCTGGTTGGTGCTCTTTCTCTGATCTTCCAGCGCCCTCTACTGGGCCTTCACTTACCCAACATCTTCACAATCAGGTAAGACGCCTTCTTTCAGAGAGCACTCATACACAGTGGCTGTTTTCCTGACCCAACCCTCGCTGGTACATTCTTATGTAGGTGGCGCTACAGGAATAAATCTGTTAGATCCTGTAACTTGTCCCTGAGGCTAACTGGAAAAGAAGTGAGGTTCCACAAAGAAGGAGAAAACAGACACTGAGGTCTACTTGAGGGGTGAGGGTGGGAAGAGGGAGAGGAGCAGAAAAGACAGTATTAGGTACTGAGCTTAATATCTGGGTGATGTAATAATCTGTACAACAAACCCCCATGACATAATTTTAACCATGTAACAAACCTTCACATGTGCCCCCAAACCTGAAATAATTTTTTTCAAGTGAGGTTCCCTATAATGTGTCCCTTAACTGTCCAAAAATAAAGCTTAATGGGCATCTAAGCTGTCAGCCATGGCATCAATAGTAAGGGACAGTTCCAGTGGCATCTCCTCTGATATATTTGAAGTATATAATTGGAATGCCATGTGCTAGCTCCATTATCTCTTCTGGTCAAGGGGAAATATCCTCAATGTATTTTGCAGAGTTCAGTAAATCTATCAGGATAGGGGTCTTCCTGGGAAGTAGCTCCAGTTACCTCTACAAAGACTAACTGAAACCCTTCCAAAAGCGTTGGTTTTCACTGGAAGGTCTCCTTCAGGGTGCCTGACGACTTGGTGCATCCTACTAATCCAAGATATAAACTTGTGCATGATGGGTAAATGTATCCAATACTACAAATTTATCTTCTAGATACCAACTATTGGATTCTAATTCTTTCCAACTCCAGAGCTCTCAGGATAAGCTGGCCATTTCACTAGACTTAGGAGGCACACAGCTCACATTTGAAATGGCATCTTCTGCCATTTGGGGCCAAAAGGAGTGTTATTCTCCAACACCAAGGCAAAGGATATTAAATATTTCATGCAACATGCTGTGAGGGCCACGTGCATCACCACCGTCTGCAGTGCTTAATGAGTATTAAGCACTCTATGCCCACCTCAAACAGACAGAACGAGAATTTCTCTTGGATACAGGAAACTACCTATTGAAGAAACACTCCAGGTAATCCTCTTGCACATCAAATTCTGAAATTTGATTATCTGAGGTAGATAATCAGAGAGGTCAACACCAGAGGAATTACACTGTTTAACTTCACTTTTCTTTAAACCTTTGTTCCTGACTTCTTTGCCAGATGGCCTCACACTCTCCCTTTTTACATTCAAGGCTGACCTTAACAATGAAAAGCAAAGGTACTGATGACAGAACCATGAGAAAGAGGAGCTAGAAAAGAGTTACAAAGAAGGATGAGAGAGATAATATTCCCGCTTACAACATGGAGCATTAAAGGATGCCATTTACAGGTGTTGAAAAAATACAAAAATAAGCATATCATTTACAGCTACCAAGGTCATTGTAAAGATCTAAAGCAACAAATAAAAGTGCATTTGGCAAGGGCAGCAATAGTCTTAAGCAAGCTAAATCTATAGCACAATTTTTTAACCACAGATATGTACTATTTTCTAAAAGTGTTTATATATCCTTTTCAAAATAAATTTTACTACCCATACTGATAGGCAATAAATTCTAATATTTTGTGTGGCCTGATAGTGATTCTTCCTCCCTGAAGGTCTAAGGGGTTGGTTCTGAGCCAATCAGAAACCTCCTCTGAACATTCTGGGAGATTATTTTCCCATTAGGTCTAGAATGCTTTGACATGTCTGCAGCATTCTTCTGCAGTCAAAAATGGAAGAGATGAGGAAAATTAAATGTTTTTGAGAAAGTAGCTGAAGAGGAACTCTCTGTTCCCAGAGAGCCATGGCACTACCCATGTAAGACCATTAAACATCCCTCTGCTACCAGCAGCCCAGAACATAACAGTTAAATCATTTCATGCCCAATATAGCAGGAGTTGTGTGTCCCTGGAGCTAGCACTGATAGGGTTGAAGTCAACACTTGGCCATTGATCATCACCTTTTATTTCCACTGGATTCTTTCCAGTGTTGCCAATGATACATACGTTATAGGAGCTCTATCCCTGAGAAGCCATGTGTGAAAGAATGACAATTCCTTTAATTTTCATGTCAAATGGAAAGAATGTAGAAGAGGAAACATTCATTGCATCATGATAGTATCCTCAGTATTTTAGTATTTTAAATTACTTTATATCATTTGATTCTCACCCTTGAAGTGGATATTATTAATTACAACCAATTTAATCTTTTGGGGAGACTGATTTTCAGCAAAGTTAAGTATTTTGACCCAGATCCATTTAGAATGCAGTGAATTCGGTCTTAAGTTGCCTAAAAATCTATTCTGAACTGGTGGCTACTGGTAGATATGCTGTGGGACTCTTCCACACCACTGAATTTTTTCAAGGATTAGGTGGTATATAATGAATGTTAAGGCCCCTATCATAGTGCTTGGACACAGTCAAAATTCAGCAAATATTAGCTTGTTTCTTTAAAATGAAAGCCTCCAGCCAGTCTTGTGGTAATAAACAAGAAGTAATGATCTATTTATATCTCCAACCTCAACTTCAGACTCCTTGAGGATGCTGATGTATCCATCATGGTATCCATAAAGCTGAGAATAGTACATGTACCAGATGGCCTGCTGAGTATTAAATGGTTAAGCAACAAGACTGAAAAAAAAAAAAAAAGGAATTAAAGATTCAGTTCCTCATTCAAAAGGAAATAAAAAAGGACTGGAAAGTCTAGAAAACAGCAAAAGCAACCCAGTTAGACATCTTGACATAACCAGCTGATGTCCTAATGCTAACACTGCCTGGCCAAAGTGCTGTGTCAAAATGAAAATCACTGCTTTCCTCTTTCTTTAACCAAGTGTACTAGATTGTTCGCTTTACTACAAAGGAATACCAGAGGCTGAGTAATTTACAAAGAAAACAGCTTATTTAAAGCTCACTGTTCTGTAGGCTTACAAGAAGAATGGAGCCAGCATCTGCCTCTGGTGGGACCTCAGGAAGCTTTTGCTCGTAGCAGAAGACAACGGGAGCTGGCATGTCAAAAGGCGAGGGAGGGAGCAAGGAGGACAGAAGATGCCAGACTCTTTCTAACAACCAGTTCTTGGGTGAACTAACAGAGTGAAAACTCACTCATCACTATAGGGGAGCAAGCCATTTATGAGAGATCCACCCCCATAACCCAAACACTTCCCACCAAGCCCCACCTCCAACATTGAGAATGAAATTTCAACAGGAGATTTGGAGGGGACAAATATCCAAACCATATCACCAAATTAGTATGCAACAGAAATCCCAGACTCTTTCTCCTCCTTTCTCTGGTGCCTGATCACATAATTTACCTCCCAACCCCTGGTCCTACATAATGCCTCCATCTACTGGCATCATGTCTAAATCCCACACCTAACAGGGTAGTTTGCAGTGTGAATTGTGCAATAGCCAGGGCGCTTGTACATAACTGGTAAATTCCCAAGTCCTTGTAACCATTGGGGGCACTATGATAATAGACATCAATAGTGTTTTCAAATATCAAGGGATATTTGGACTTGTAGTTCTGCATGTTTAAATAAGGATTCTTCCTGAGATATGTCTCTAGCTCCATGTTTAGCTCCACAGCCTTCATCAAGGACTCTAGTAGGTCACTATAAAAGCCCAATAAACTTACCGATCTGTCTACTCTGTAGCTCCGGTTAATTTGCAATTCATATGCACAAATCATCTACATCTTCTTCACACACATTCTATGGCCCACATACATGAGTGCATACACACAACTACAAATGAGTGTGGTCTGTCAGGGAGGGAGGCAAGAAATATCAAAACATATGAAATCTAAGATTACTAGCAAAAAATCAGTAACTGTGAATACAGCGTTCACACTCTAGTGAAGATTGCTTCTGTCCCTAGGTCTTTAATCAGATAAGAAAGTCTTCACTTCAGTTTTCTACAAGTTTCAGTCAGCTGTTTCTGATGCAGTTTTTACACTGAAGATTACTCCAAAGTCTCTGCTATGGATCAAGAAATTCCATTACAGCCAGCAGCATCTGGTTATTGATTTATTATGTATTCTCACTTGTCATAATATACCTTAGGTTCTTTCTAAAATCCTCATGAGCTCTACCTTTGTCTCATATGGCTCAGTAATCGAATTGAATCCACTGTGGTCACAGCAGAATCCAGGTGCAGCTTTCCTTGTCATTTTCAAAAAGCTCAGGTATTCCTTCCAGATTTCAACTTTCTTATGAACTTGGATGTCTGTTTTGCCTGGTTTGCTCTTCAGCAAGTTATCATTTCTTGTGCTTTAATGCAAACCCTGCAAAATGCCAACGTAGCTGGACTTTTTAACTGACTACATTGGAACAGAGGTCTGTTTTACTACTGAGTCAACTGGCTCAATTTGTCTTCATGACAGCAAGTTAAATAAGAGCCGTATTTTATATAGAAAAAGAAGGTTTTTTAATAAAAAATGAGTAATGTTAAATTTTAAAAGGATTGTGGGAAACAGGTCCATTGTTTCTGTGAATTTTAAACAATGGGCACTTCACTCTTGATATCAGAGAATACCTAAGTATTTGAAGAACACCCACGCTACTCTCCAAGGTGGGTTGTACAACTGAAGTTGTAGATCTATTGGACCATATCATCTGCTCCCTCATAGGACAAGATTTCTTTAAGTAACATGTCTGATTGGTTAGAACTATCAGGATATTCATGTTCAAATCGATTCTATAACTTTCCTTGAAATGACAATACAGACATCATAATATCATTTTCCCGTAATTTTCATATGACATATAAAGTCCATTCAGTTTTTATAACAAAATGATATTGACTGGGCGGCTTAAACAATAAGCATTTATTTGTCAGAGTTCTGAAAGCTTAGAAGTCCAAAATGAA